ACTTGGAAAAACGGCGACTGAGACTTTGCAGATGTTGTGTGATGTTTATGGAGATTCTTCCATGTCCAGAACAAGAATTATTGAATGGCACAAGCGATTTGTGGAAGGCAGGGAGGATGATCCGAGGTCAGGGAGGCCTTACACTTCCACTACTGATACCAACATCGAAAAGGTTTGGCAGTTGGTTCGCAGTGACCGTCGCTTAACAATTCGCGTCATTGCCAACGAAATTGGGATGGACAAAGAAACGGTCCGCACCATTTTGGTTGACACTTTGGGAATGCGAAAGGTGTGTGCCAAAATGATGCCAAAGGCTCTTGAGTTGACTGAGGAGCAGAAAGCTCAACGATTGAATACATGCCGAGTTGACATGCATTTTTCCAAGTTTGACACAAAATTTAATGTTAATTCTTTGCTCAATCGTCATTCTGCAATTGAACCCCCTATCGCCAAAAAACTCAATCAGACCTCGCACAGCATTTTTTTTTAAACAATAAATTTATCACATTCACTTATGGATCCTGAAAAGCAAAAATAATTGTGATATTGTGTCAAATCAAAACAGCTGTTAAACAAAGAACACATATTACGCCACACTGCAAAAGTGTTGATTACCCATGGTTAATCGTGTTGCGCAATCTGTGACGTCAGTCCCGTTTCATTTTAGCCGCACCAAATTGACTAGCACCAAAGTAGCATTTTTTCTCCCACATTCTCTCCAAGCAAGGCCTTGTGAAAGCAGGCACAAGAATCTTTCTAGTTTTGTATTGCCTATACCAGTGGTTCCCAACCTTTTATGGCTAGTGGCCCACTTGAGCCTATAAGCACTCATGGACCCTGTTCATCATTCCAGTGGTATTTAGAGTGTTATTATTTTATAATAGGTAGATTCCAAATTCCATTATATTTATTAAACAATTTATGCTCAACAAAAAGAAAACATCCTGTGAAATAACCTTACCAAGCAATGAAACTAGAAAGAACAGGCAGTTTTCCTGTAAATGGAAATATGATATCAGTTTTGAGCCTAGCTTGGTGGCCCTCCGCTAACTGCTCTGTGGCCCTCTTAGTGGGCATGGGCCCCCGGTTGGGAACTGCTGGCCTACACAATATATCACACCCTGGGTATGGTGGAGACATGAGGTTTGTATTAGATAAAGAATTCTCATTAAGTTGGAAATGAACAAAAATAGTTTGCCTAATACAGACCGGAATATGTAGTTTAGATAAAATCTTAGACCAATCATATCGTGTGATAATGAGAACTTTCTGACACTCTTAGAATACAGAAATATCCTAAGACATATTTATGCCGTACAAGAGTATGCAATTCTATAGCATGGCGATAGATACATATGCTTATATAAATGTGCAAACAACCAGCCTGATATAGTTGATACTTACTATGTTATACAGTTCTTCCAATCTTGGAATGGTCAAAAACTTGTGCATGCTAACACCATTCTCCATCAATAGTTTCACAAAATCCATTCTATCCTGTATTAAAGCATCCATCATCGCATGTTCCAGAGATAATACCTATATAACATAAAATATATTGGAATTGAAATTACATACATAATGAAGTATCATTACTAACAAGTTACAATACAAAATGATTGTTGAAACAAAATGGTCTCATTGCTTGTTTCCAAAAAAAATGTTATGACAAATTCTATGGCTGGGAGAATGTAGCTTTGAATGAACTAACTCATTGATAAAATGTAGTAAAGTACTAACCGGCCAATGTTGTCCATAGACAAATATCTGACTTGTTGCGATGTCAATTCGATTCCATGTTAACGCGAGACTGAGCATGTCAGGGGCAGATGTTCTTCTAGCTATGCAATAAAAATATAAAAAATATAAATTCAATTTTATATGAAAAATCATTATCATTTTAAAATTCAAATTTTATTCAGAACTTCAACAGTTACAAAGAAAACTTATTGACATAATATACGCAATGTACCATACATGCCTTATTCAAATTTTGAGACAATTTTTTCAAAAAACATAATTTTAGAATACTTAAAACAAGACTTGATAATCTACTATAATAGACAACAATAACAGGTAGGAATCAAGCATGACAAGCTAAATATACAATTTTATATACTTGTGATTCGTTGTGAATCTCACATATTGGACAAACAATACACCATTAAGAATGTCCAGAAAGGATAAATCAATAACAAATAGGATGAATAAATCAGATATTAATAGATTGTGTAGAATTTCATAGCAACCAAGTAGCGAATTCCCCAAAAAAGCTGATGATGAATAATATATCGATATATATGAATAAAGTTTTTAGTAGGTCAAATTTGTGAAAGGATATTCAAAATTAAATATAAATTACCTATAATCAAATATGTTAATGGGCATGATTTTTGTTTTTACTTGGGAATGAAATGAGCGAGTTACTGTTCACAAAAAATTCAATCAAAGTATGATTATCTGCAATCAAAATGGATTAACAAGAATAATGACAAAAAATATATTATTGATACCACATAGATCAGTGTTTCTCAAACGGTAGGGCGTAGTCAATTTTTTGAGGGGGCATGAAGCTGATTAAAAATGAAAATATTTGTTAGATTTGATCCCGATTCACATTCTATCAATGTTTTTTTTTTAATAAAACATACTTTCGTCTTATTATCTGTTATTTGTAGCTTATTGCTAACTGTTTTTTTTTTTTATTAAGGGTGGGGCACGAAACTTGACAATTTCTAAATAAGGGGCGCGGCCTAAAAAGTTTGAGAACCACTGACATAGATGGATGTGGATGATTATATCAGAAGATTACTCCAGACTAAAATCAATTGATTTCAAACAGTGACTTTGGAATTTGATTTGAAAATGTATGTATCACATGAATGTACGTACTAACTTTCAATCATTGATCACACTTGCTCTCCTTTGTAAAATTGAAAAAGACAAAACAAAACAACATATGTTGTTTTGTTAATATTTCGGTTCAATGTATATAATAAAATAAGAACATTCTACACTATAAAAATTAGTTACCTCGCAATGATGCTGTCAAAATTGCATTGTCAATATCATCTTGTTTATTTTGCCCTTGACCCAATCGAAATACAGTTATCTACAAAGAATATGGAAGAAAAAGAAAAATTTGAAGATATATATACCATATGTGCAATAATTAATCGGGGTGAAAGTAAACAAATTGGAGGTAAAAATAAAAAAAAATTCCCACATCAGTTAATTTACATTATCATTTTAAGCAGGTGTGTATAAATAGTTGCTTAGATGCTCTGTGCAGATGTATATTGGAAAACTGTGATGTGGTATTAACAATTCAGTTAATGTCTAGCTGGAGAGAAATGGACTGAACAATTCAACGAGAATATCGGTCGGAGACCGAAGACTTATCGATCGAAACTGCGGTTTCGATTCATGACTCTATAGTGACACCGCGTGTCCCATCACCAATTAATTAATACCTCGCTAATTATACGACATAATTCATCCAAAATCAATAGGCTTCTGGTCCGAGATATGATGAATGAACATGCAAAATTTGGAGAATATTCAACCACGCCTTCGTGAGATATCGCGTGCATCTAACAGACAGACAGACAAATACCTATCAACATACTTACCGATCTAAAGATCGATAAGTAATGATACCATCCACTAGACAAGGTAATATTACTTCTTTACCCAATGTGACCTAATTTCTAAAAATCATTTCAACAAACCAAGTCTTTCCTCCTGACACATTCCATAATAGACAGAAATATAAATTGAGCTTGATCTCGACCACATGCGAATGTGTTCTGTATTGTGATTAAGAGTTGTAACCGAAGATCTTCCATCAGAGTTCTTGAAAAATTTGATGAACATTCATTAACAAATTACAGTGTTTCATATCAAATATTTTCTACTTATATTTTCTAAATAACTTTTGTCAAAGACTCTTCGATTATAATTAAAGCTCAACCATGATCTCTAGTATGTAATGCCATTATGTCAATGTAGAACGCCAAATGGTTAGAGCAGGGGTGGGCACTTACTTTGCTGAGTGGGCAAGTTAGGTAGGTCGGTTCCCACCCCTGGGTTATAGAAATAGATAATTGTCTTAGAACTCTAAGAGACCTACCCATCATCTTCTGCGTATTGATGTGCAAATGCAAGTAAATCAGCTGCTCTTCCAGAACCATCAACAACAATTACTGGGATGGGAGGACTCTGTCTCACACTCTCCAAAACAACGTTAATAGTATTTTTACCACCTTCGAGGACAAGACAAACAACAGGGATTTTTCTTCCATGTTCTATTAGAAAAGAATTGTAATTTCTTCGTCAGTATAAAATAGATAATAAATAAATTCTATTCAGTTATTAGCATAACTGTCTGTTTTTAACAGGAAATTAAAGGAGTCAAGAAAACATACATATTAATTTTATAATAAAATTGATTAGCATACGAAATTGAAATATCTCAGAAAATAAATGTAAATTAACAAGAGAAACATTTGCAACCGAATATCATTTCTGGAATATCATTGTTACAAGACATCACAATGTATAAAATATATAATATGGTTTATACGATACGCCTTTCACTCCGAACATGGTTCTGCACAAGCAGCAACTATTTGGTCAGAGGTTACAAAGTTTAAACATGAGGCGGGGAACATGGGATTTAAACATAATATTTTTAATCTTGGATGACAACACAATTAATTAGGTCACTCTCCAATCACCAAAAAAGGAACAATAGGATCAACTTTAATCCTTTTTCTTTGACATTATCAGACCAGAATCAAATTATTCCGATAAGATTCATGAATGACAACTTCAAAAGAAATAGAAAATCATTTACATGTGTTAATTTTGACGCACAGGGATTGTGAAAGGTTTTATTTAAGAATCAGATTTAACATATACCCTGCCGTAAGTGAATCATACAGTACCATAATGGACTTACAACAAAATGACCAGATTCTGATGTAAATATGACTCACTTTGATTTATCTGCTGCAATGATAACTTTCTTTCCAATCGTCTACGAAACTTCAATTCACTTCCATATTTCCCTTCAGTACCGTTATCTACCAGAAGAAAATGTGTATGTGCTGCATTGAGAACTGCTCCTTTACTGAGAGGGTTAGCCATAGTTTGGTATGAGCTGATTGCCTGAGATAGAATGCATAAATTAGTAATGTGAAATGAGGTACACCATTCTTTTCTTTCACACAATTCCTAACTTGTGCGACCTAATTTAACATGCAAGAGAGCAATCTAGTCCATGCACCTGAAACAAATAACTGGCAACTAACACCCTACTCGATATGGATTAGTAACTAGATGAGGAGACTAGGCCACGGTATGATTATTGGGCTGTCAAAACAGGTTTCTTCACCCCAGGATAAATATGGAGAACCTATCCTATGTATGTATATACATATTAATAACACAAGTTCAGACCATATTCACAACCAAGTTCTAAAAAACATACAGAAATCGTTGAATACAGGATGAGTCACCACTCACCATTAAGGAAATGCAAAAAATTCATCTATATTGAAAATCTATAATTAAGCAAATCCATCCGGAAAAACACATTTATTCAAATGAGATGAACTGATTATTTCAAACCAACAATTGAATTCATAGTGAATTCAAGACAGAGTTTAAGGGAGGTGTTTATCATTACATCCCATGATATTGCTATACTTTATTATAAGCAAAATTATTTCATGATGAGCTCTGATAATAAGTGAAAAATGAATGAAAATAGAAATATTAATGAAATTTGCCATATCCAAAATCCTCCCAACAGCCTTTCGTAATATTCATCAGATATAATGAGGCAACTGCTATATGCAAAATTATATTCAATTATGAACTATGGATTCAACTCTTCAGGCATGTATATCTTGGCAACGAATCTTGATTTTTTTATCATAATTACTTTAAACCATCACTTTTTTTATATTAATTTCCCCCTGACGTGACTATGTTTCCTTTCTCCATGCAAACACGTTAAGCTGTTGGGGACACATAATACATCACAATTACATTAAATTAAATAATGGAATAAAAATTGATCTGAAGATTTATGGCTTCTATTAATAATTTATATATTATTATTATATATATAGGAGCATACAGACTGAAGAAAAATGAATTTTAATTAAAAACATGGAAAAAAAATGTATAATAATTGTGGTGTATAATAATAGGGCATAAGGTATATAGAGCGAATGGTTGACACAGTTTATAACCATTAATCAAATGACATAATTACTTTCCGTATATGAGTCGCTGTCCTATGGATGCAGTTTAATATAGAAATACGTTTGGCAAAAAAATGATAATAGATAAAGCAGGGCCTGAATTTTAACACAAACATCAATTTTTCTACAATAAAGACTAACAATAGTGAAATGGACGTCACTTGAACAACAAGGTATCATAGGAATTAGCCTCTTTAAATGTAATGATAAATACGCATAAAAATATGGATTGTTTTTATATTAGCTCGTCGTTGAATTATATGAAAAATGCAGTATGGATCACAATCTAGCGTAAATGAAGAAAATTTTAATGTTTGATATGCTAAGCTATAATACGTATGTTGAAAAAAGTGAGATCTGATTGGAAGCAATTACGGTATATAGTGGTAAAACTGATCAAGAAAAATTAATACACAAATACTAATTCGTAATCTCTTAATTTGATCATTTAATCTTTGAAAAATAAATCCATTTGATTAATGTTACAATAACAACTTAGGGACCTAGTCATATACCCGCACCTGAGAAGTTATAAGATCTTCTCTGTTATCAACAACCCCCCAAGGGGCAACTCCAATACTATATATCCTCCCTCTTGATCTTGCTTTATGTTCTTTCAGAGCATTTCCAACTATTGACCCAACCCCTGAAAAAGTAGATTTGTGTAAATATTTTTCAAACTGACAAGAAAAATTAATATTGTTTGGAGTAGAAGATGACCAACTAATAAATGAAACAGATAAGAATCCAATGTAAGACATAACAAAATACAGGACAAAAATGGCAACCTTTTTCTTGAAGTTGTACCAGTGGATTTAATGTAAAAATAATATTCGAACCACAAATCTTCTGATTATGACATGAAATATAAAAAAAATAAAATATAGAACAAACATTGTGTTGCAACTTGCAATATTCATTTTGAATCATTGTGTCTTTCTTATTTACATGTATTCAATTCATCAGTACCATTAGAGATTCCGCTTGCATCTTGTGCAATATGAACAAAACGAGTTAAGTGTTTGATCACAGGGTAAATTCTCACATTCAAATCCTACGTTCACCACCTTACCCAAGGTGTAATAAATTGGGTAGGCAATGCCAAACCGGACATTTCATACCTTTCAAAAGTAAAGTAACTTCGTACATATCAGTGACTGCTAGTGCAGAGCCTTTTTCAGCTTGAAAGGCGCATAAATATGCCACAAAAAAATTAACCATATCATAATATGAGGTTATAACTATTATTATAATTTTGCTTCTAGATTTGTGAACTCATTTATAGTCTACAAAATAATTTTCACCAATGTAATTTTTCTATACAATTACCGGTATGTGCCTGGATCGGGATGTTTATATCAATATTAAATTAATGATATCCACCATGTAAGCATTTTATTATTTCCTGAACATAAGCCCATATTAATGAGGGAAATCTAAATTAAGACCTTATATTAATAACCATAATACCATGATATTAATAAGCGTTATTGGATTTATAATAATATAGCACTAAGTTAAATTAAATTGGCCTACTAGACGATCGAAATTTTTAGGTTCATGAGTTATAATAATTTAATGGTGTGTAGAACCACATCATTTCCGATGTCTAAATTACAAATTTATTCAAATGTGTTCATTTTGCTAATCATTTCATATCTTTCATTGGAACAATTTATTTTTATTCCTGGCCTACTTCATAGTTTTAAAATGAAACGTACTTACAAAAGAGCACATAAAACTTATCTTAAACTCCAATTTTTCATTTCAAAAACAGTCAACATACCTGTGTTAAGACCAGAAAGCATGATCCAAGCACCAGTTGTCTTTGCGGCTTTGATCAGTCCATCACAAAACACTCTTAAAATAAACAGAAAGATAATAAAGTTGCACAGTCATATTAAAAGTAGCAAGTCAGTACAAAAATTGTCCCATAAAGACGTCTTTTATTGTAATAAAAATTCAGAGTCCTGCACCACATGTTTCAGAAAAAGGAAAACTAATAAACGGATCACCAACAAAACCCCCAATATAAAGCTTTTATGTGCGACTATGAATAACTCAGGTCATAAATAAACAGGATGTAAATCTCATTTGTAAGTGAAATATATTATGAAATTAATTCATATTTCCTGAAAATCCTGATAGTCCCTGACGAGGAGCAATTTTGGCTTGCAATTTACCAATTTTCTGCTGTATGGATTATTGAAAATTAAAGATTAACCTAGCAGACCTGTTCGTCCAATTTTCTCGGATAATTTCACAATTTAACCAATCATGTATAATTTGATATCAAAAATACCTTCGTAATTTTGGTTGAAGTTGAAAATTATGCACACCTCCATGTACTGTAATAACCATTTTTGGACGTTGCATTCCCCATTCTTCGGTCAAAAGTCTCATTGTATATTCAGGATGTGTGTCATGTGCTAGGCGAATATACTAAAACAAACGCATTTGATTTAGAAAACTATTTAACTGTCACAGTCAGCAATATAAAGTTTGCTAACTTGATATTGGCAAATTCAGGTAATCAAGATGTATTCTTTCATCAGTGTTATTTCACATTTGTGCTGTAAAATTAGATATGAAGGAATTTGTATTTTGAATTTGGCAAGAATGATATATCCAACTGCTATTTCATTCCGAAAATAAATTCTTATCGAAGGAAAATCAAGGTTAGAGAGTCTATAGAAAATATTTCCAACAACGATATTCAAATCATCATGCTAATCTTCAGCAGCACATTAACAGAAGGTGTTAATGTGTTTGACATGAGTCGTTCCATTGGTACAACATGAACAACTCACTTGTGAGATATAATTTGTTTCAAGGACTAAATTAACAAGTAGATCTTTCAACAACTTGTCAAATGACATGGGTATTGATAATTATTTGCTAGTTCTAGGGCCTCCCAAAGTAAATGAAACCCACAAAATTGGTAATCAAATTAATGGGTTTCATTTATTTTGGGACACCCTGTACTAGCAGTTGGCATGATGCAGTAGAAACACATTCTTGGGTGTTCAATTAAAAGCTTAGTGGGCATATATATATATATATATGCCTGACTAGTATTGTTGTTCTCCCTTACTGAACCAAAATTATCTTGATATAAATAAATTTTATCAAAAAAATATACATAGTTAATAAATTAGTGCCCATGTGAGAAGACCACTTGTTACTAGTTAATTGTAGAATCACTCATCAGTCATCATTAGTATTTTTTCAATACAAAATTATATACAGTATACACAGACTCTAACACCCCAGGCAACAACCATATGTTGACACTTATAACACTCAATATAACTTACCCGGTAATACCTATAGAATCAATGTGTTATTAAACATGTCTATATAAGCGATGTAAAACCAACACAAATGGATGATAGTCCAGGATGTGAATAACAACATTCTTGTAGCCTCTAGAAAACTGGTTTATATGAAAGCAACATTGACTAAGTTGTCAAGTAGGGTCAAAAGCAAGAAGTGTTGCATGTTCATAACAAATTGATTTTAAATTATACAGCTGTCTAATGATCAAAATTGTTTTTTACGAGAAGTTATGATATGAATTTATGTCACAAGGAAGAAAGGACAAAAATTGGACATTCTACAATTTCTAAATGATACAACTAATTAATTATATGCAAATAACCATGTGGTGAAAATCAATTATCCAGTGATATAAAAATACAATTGCTTTGAGAGTCTGGTCTAATTCAGACTTTAAAAAATTGATCAAATTGGAGTAACAACCCTGAAGCACTGCATCATGCCTATTGGTTGGGATGGTAGTGGTAGTTTCAAGATGTTACATTCACTAAATTGCTACAAGTTTATTAAACACTTGCTCACCTGTGACTTATCTCCTTCACCCGTACCCTGATATTCTAAAGTACCATAAGCATCCGTAGGCAGAGATGTTGTATGGTGTACAACGTTCCATTTTGCATTATTTTGCAACCTATAAAATCAAAAAATATATACGAGAAATAGAATTTTAGCAATTCGTGAACAAATGTCATTGCCAATAAAGCTAATACATCTAACAACTTTGTCGTGGCTGATATCAGCAATAAAAATATATTTTGTGAACAAGCCTGGATAATAAGTGTGCTATCAACAAATAATAGAAATTAGTATAAGAGTGTTGCCCAGTCAAAGTATATGGTTTTTTTTTCTTTACACCTCCTGAGAACATTATTTTTCAAACAAACATGAGAGCTCAACCAAAAACAACTTGACAAATATTCTTGATGAATCTGAGTAATATCTGATATAACAATCAAAAAGCAATTAAATACAAACTAATTATTTACCGTAACTTATTTGTAACTATTAACATAAAGGAAACTTGGATATTGTGTATTGAAATGCAGGTCCTTATGTTATTTTTACTTATCATATTAAAATAAACTTAATAAAATAAATGAACAAAGAACCAGTATTTCCTTTTTTTCTATAAACCCAGATATGTCACCAGTATAAAGCATAATTATACAATACTGCAATATGAAACACACTAATTATCTTGAATATAAAGATTTAGAAATGCTGCTTTTATTCAAATGGACCACGGGTTAGCAATTGTCTATTGGATATTACATGCAAACATCAATTGTAATAATAAAATAAAAGAAATTTAATAACCTTGAAGAACTTTTTTTCCTCTTTTGCATTTTCGGTACATTTTTAATTTCCAGGAAACCTTCTGGAGATTGTAGAGGGAGATTCTCATTAGCAGGTTTGGATTGAGATAAATTGGTTTCACATCTTTGCAATGTTTCATCATGAAATTCAAAATGTGAAGGAGAATTTTTCTTTGGAGATATGTTTTTCGGTTTCTCATAAGAATCCAAAAAGAGATGTGATGAATATGTTCTTCCACATCCACATCTGAAAATCAACAAAATGATAATAAACTTACGCTTCACTAAAATTTCTTATTAATATACCATATTATTCACAATGGACCATTACAGTCAATAAGGAAATTAGATAACAATACACCTTCAGTTCCATGCAGGTATTGACCCAAACTAAGGTCAATGATAATATAGGCAAAAACAATGAGCTCTGAAAATATCATAGTTTGCTGGACGGCAAAAATTCAATAGTTTTACAGCCCCACAACAAACACACAGATAACAATGATGTGAGAACATACAGATTGCCATGTAACCAAAACAATAAAACAATACTAGAAACAAAAAAACATGGAAGCCTGAAATTTTTCGAAGTGGATCATCTGCTTGGATTTGAAGTCAAATCAATACCTTTGCAATCCGTCATGTGTGATCAAGGGAATAAAAGTCACGCATTCTCTTTTTCGAAACGTTGATTCAATCCATGTTATTTTATCCTGTTAAGTATAAAACATGTTTGAGTTAGATTAAATTATTTTAAAGATAATATAAAACCATTATAAGATGTACCGAACATTTATGCCATCAGATTTGTCAAATGTAAGAAAATGGTAACATAAATAACATCATTGGCTTCATAGGGTATGGGTTTTGGTCCACACAAAAATTATTCATACTTCCTTAACAATAATATTATGCAGTACAGCAGTACGAATGGCAGTCACATTTCAATGATTTGTTGTGTAGGACAGTAGGAGGTTGCAAATAACAGAACATAATCAAAGTAGAGCCAAAAGATTCTAAAAAACTAGTCCTCTGACCCCATCTTCCTCCTGACCCTCTTCCAACAATGGTGAATTATTTTCTTTCCTTTCCGCCACTCGACGATGCCGACGACGCAATGCCATCATATTTGTTGGCCAGTTTGACAGCGGTCCAACGAACAAACATCGACTCCAATACTGTCTCAAAGAAACTCATAATTTAAACACTATTTATATATATATATGATGGGTCGATCGTCTGTAACAATATTCAGCTATTCCAGTATTTGGGTCTGATCAACTTACTTATGATTCAGACTCCCAATCACTGCAGCACTGATATGTAGGATACCGTACTGGTACCTGGATATGTCAGGATGATGATAAGCATTACAGCATTCAGGCATTACAGCATTAGGCTGTTTAGAGTGATAAAAGGCAAATGAGCAGAGTGGTCAGAAAAGAATCCAGACCTCTTGATTACTATCTAAACTTGCTAACCCTCCACTGGCAGTAGGTTCAGTGCTACTGCACGGAACTCTGATAACGATTTATGGAAATACCTTAAAACTGTACCAGTAGGCTTCCTACCTGTACTGGTATACACTCTTGACGCAGAAAGGTGTGTAACGCCAAGCGGTCAAGGGCAACTGGTATGTTCAGATATTTGAAACACAGTGCCACACGGGTACGATACCTGTACTGCAAAAGATGTTATTTCAAACGTAAATTCCCGACATAAAAAACACCTGTATCGGTATAATCTTTTTTTTTCTATTTCTGTATTCCGAAGACAAAATCAAATAGTGTCTTTTAGTAAAATGCACTAATCTTCGAATTTTGCTGATTGATTATGAACATTTGAGGTAACATTTTGGGAATGAGTTTGCATTCTGAACTACGGTACCATATTCTTTTCCTTGATACACATGGTACCGGTAACAAACTTCAACCATTCAGTAGGTAATTTTTGAATGCGGCACCGACGTGTGGTAGCCGGCTCCATTCCGACCGGTCAACACTCCCGCCACGATTTCGCACATGAAAACGATAAATCGCGTTGCGAACAAAGGCCAACGTAAACAAAGGAAAAAAAGACAGTCGGTTCAGCTCTAGTGTGAGCTCTGCAAGTGCAACCTGCACCGCGAGAGGAAATCTATATACATGAAAATTCGGTTCTTGCGAAACGACATTCAAGCAAAAAAATCTCTCTGAAAACTACATCCCCGTGCATTTCTAACAACATGTAATTGATCAACACTCCCGCCACGATTTCATACAAATTACAAATGAAATGGTAAATCGCGTAGCGAACAAAGGCCAACGTAAACAGAGGAGAAAAAGACAGTCGTTGGTTTAACTCTAGTAAGAGCTTTGCAAGTGTACCCTGCATTGCGAGAGAAAATCTATGTACTACAGGAAAAGTCCGTTCTTGCGAAACGACATTCAAGCACAAAAATCTCTCTGAAAACTACATCCCCGTGCATTTCTAACAGCATGTAACTGCTATAGTTGTCTGTCACTGAGTTTTTGAATGATTTATTTCGAATATATAGAGTTCTAACAATCAGGCCAAGTAAAAATTTTATTACCGTAATATTACACCCTTTGACTCTCATACACACTATGACGTCACAATGATGTGTTGCAGCAAAGTGTCTCCAATGCTGCGTGATACTGATCGGCTATTCGGCTTCTGTCTTCTTCACAGAACTTCTGTTCAGCTTTATCCTGCTTCTCTTGTATTCATTCCATAAAATGAATTTGAAACAGCGGCTTATGCAAATAATGAAGACAGAGAATGCCTTCAAGGAGCATTTAACTGTGACAATGAACTTTAGACTTAAACAAGCTAAACATTTTGTTTTATCACCGATCGTGTATGCGGACGATGAGGTCGCCCAGACCGACTACTCCCGGAAATCAAACGCAAAACAGTACTCATCATCTGCAAAGGTAAAAGCTCAGAGTTTTGAAGATTTAGGATTTCCTGAAGATGTTGTTCTGTCTTTTAAACAAGGCAGACTCAACAAATATGCTCGAAAATAAAAACTGTATAGGTATAGACTACTAATGACCGGCCTTGAAGCATGATGGTCATCGACTCGATTAGAATAAATATCTGATTTGATCGAGGTCACGAGCAATATTTTACTGACGTTTTCGAAGCTTGCATATGGATTCAACTCAGCAGTAGCCTATTGCACCCCATGGGCCATGACCCATATTTTCTTTCCGACAATCTGCATTTGATCTGGTTTGAAAGTAGCGTATCCTCAAAGACGCAGGATAAAATCTCAACAGTCAGCAACAAACTGCTTCATAGTTAATAGTCCGGCAGATAAGAGGGCCTTTTTGGGCCCAACCTTGTTTTCAGACATAAAGTTTTTTTTTATTTGTGATCATTCATCTTGGGGTTATTGCCAATCATTTCTACATGGGTGTGGAGTTTGCAGCCTTGAGCAATTTTTTTACGGCTTGGTATTTGTATTAGTGTTTTTCATCAAATCTGTGCACCATAATGGCGCACAACCTGAAACCTAACCTGTTCCAATACTATGTTTAGGTTGTGCGCCATCTTGGTGCACAAACTACGGACGCACAAAATTTACTAGGAAATAAAAATAACTTTTAGGTATTTTTTGAACCCAGCTTTGGGTCGCGACCCATATATATGGAAATACTGTTGAAATACGCGTAAAATAAAGAGTACTATTTCAAAATACCCGCTTTTGTTGCAATTAACAATACAAGCCTGCTAATGCAGTCAAGTCAAGTCAAGTTTATTTTTTCCAACCAGTAAAAAACAAAAAACACATGCAAAAATATATAGAAAAAAATGATATTTAAATTACTGGGGAAGGGAAGCCGCGGGGAACCAAAACTGGTTATCGAGCTGCGACACCCAAGGTTCTAACACCTAGTTTGACAGATCGGGGAGAAGAGTTTCAACGAATAGATACTATATAAATTTTACAAAAGAGCTAACTAATTGCAATTGTTATATATTATTACTAAAAATTACCGTGCATTAAATGTGCCATAATAGCAGCGAATAACCGGGGATTTCCCGTTTGTATAGACCTAGCTGTAGCGAAATGTTGTTCTGTAGAATAACTGGGGAATTTTGAAGGTGACCTGACCACAACGTGGTTGTGCTATGACAGTATGAAGCGATATAGCAATGTACACCGATCAGGTAAATAAATAAAGTGAAATTAGCACGCTGGATGTTGAAATAAATATTCACCTTTGGGGTCCTGACGCGTTATCTCAGTACCGGTACCGTACTGCTTGTAAGCTAACAAGAAAAATATTAGGAACAAACATAAATGATTTGATACTGTCAGACTGTGATAAGAATACAATGAAAAAACAATATTGACATTTGTTGAGGTGAAAATAAATGTTGGTATAAAATCACTAGACTATGGAGTCCTTCAATGATAGAAATATCTGAATATAGGAAGCACTGTGATAGGAATACTCCATTGCTTAAACTGGTAAATTGATGTTAACTAATACTAAAATATGAAACATAGTTTGTAATACTTTTTCATGTAACATAGCACAATTAATAGTTTTTGTCCATCCTAAAGTATATATTGAGACACTAAATGTCTTTTTAGATTTGATTTGAATATCTGGTGGGACATGCTTTTTAACTCACTTGGTAAGTTGTTCCACATTTTTGCTCCAGTGTACTTTAGGCAATTTTGGGTTATGGAATGTGACAAACGACGTAAATAAAAAGAGTGTGTGGAGGCTGATCTTGTGTTATGTGTGTGTATAGTACTTTGTCGGCAGTAGTTCAAGTGGATATACACCCGGTGGAGAACAGTCAATTATTTGTTAGCAAGGATTCTTATGCAGCAGGATGATCACGACGATGCAGTGAAAGATAATGCTATCACGAGAACAAGAATGAGAAAATTGCTACATTTTATAGTATATCCCTGGGAAAGAATGTAGTTCATTCTTATGTTCCATGGCTTTTCAAACTACCAAAGACTTTCAACACTTTTGCTCCTTCTCTTCTATAAAAATACATTGTTATTATATATTCGCATTTCCATCTGTTTGTTCGTGCTCCCAGATAACCGATCAGTGGCATCCAAGGAGGCCGGGGTCCCCTTTTGGGAAACCCTGTCATAAACTATAAGAGGCTGCCGTGCTTCTCTTGCCTGTTGTCATGCTGTCCCTCGAATTCAGCTACAACAAAAAATTCACGAAAACGGGTTTTAGATTTTATGATTTCATTATTATTCTCGACAATGAATGATATATATACGGGTGGTAAAATGCCGAGTTATTTCAACAACATGATCATGTTTTGCAACTTACAACCAATATTTTATATGTAACTTTGTTTGACAGAGCCGCAAGGCCAAGAGATCTGAATACAAATATATATCAAAAATGTGAGGCCAAAATAGTTACACTACAACATAGCCAAATGCGCTGTATTTACGATAGAAAACAGGTTCACCAAAAAGCATTGCATGAAAAATGGTGAAATAAAGATCAATTTAGCAATATCTACTTAGGACTTGGTGATATGCATCTGTTGATGATTTTATCTGTTTGTTTCGGAAGTTTAATGACAGAATTAATTGTGGTTGTTGGGGATGTTTAAAAAAAAGGTTAAATGAAAAAAGGTCTGACAAAATGTCAAGGTTTGAGAGTAGTAGAGAAGTGGAAAAAATACTCCCATGTGTTCTTCATTTGATAATCACGCCACAGAACTTCTCCGATAAATATACGCAGCATTTGCGAGAGGCAGAAATGCCAAGATGGGATTTCATCGCATTGCAAACAAATATTAGCGATTTTCAAATATATTCGCGCATTCCCATCTGAACAGCGTGGAAAAGATTATACCTATCTACACACTTGAAAAACTATGGCAGATGAGCGTCATGTTATTGAATATCAGTAAAGGAATAGTGCAATGGGAAAAGACATATAAGGCGTAACTTTCAGTAATATGCATCAAATATTCTTATTGGTGAATATATATTTAAAAACATTTCGTCACGCCAACCGCAGTCCGAAACTTTTTGTCTCTGGCTGAGCTTAGATACCACTCATGTAAACTAGTAAGAGGGACACGATGGAGCAGATAATATGAGTATCCATTCCCCAGCTGTCATTTGAGTAGGTACTGCTGTTTTTATTGCAGATGATACTGATTTTTTTGTATTAATAAAGATTTACTGGCATCACCGATTTAAGGATGTCAAGTGATGGATATAAATAAACCATTTGAAAACCAAC